ATCAATTTTATCAACAATGTTACTTAATTTTGTCCGTGACTGTATATATATATATATATATATATATATATATATATTTATTTATATATATATATATATATATATATATATATATATATATATATATATATATATATATATATATATATATATAATATATATATATATATATATATATATATATATATATATATATATATATATATATATATATATATATATATATATATATATTAAATGATGAAATCTTCAAAAGATTTTATTTGTATAAATATTTTAAAATAAAACTTCTTTTTATGGATTGATTTCTATTTGCAAAAATTATATTTATTTTTACGATATTTCGAGGGAATATGGATACCCTTGTTATCAAGTATATAAAAACCATTATAAAAAAACAAAACCGCTATATTGTGTCATGTTTTTGTTTTGAAATTAAATTTTTTTCATTTTTGAGTTCCGAAAAAAAACAAAAAATTGGAAGAAAGGTTCTATAATTGTATTATGTGCACGTTGGTAATTATAAACATGGTTATCAAATCTATCTGTTGATTGTCCTCTTCTACATCTAGAAATATGTCCATATAAATGAAGTCTTAATTTATTAGTTTTTCTGGTGTATGTAGTTTTCATATTGCAAGATATTTTATTATATTTTTACTATTGTAAGTTATATGATGCTTTATGTTCCATATGGAACCATTTGATGTTGTAAATGTTTTAACTTCTTGAAGGTAGAATTTGCTTATATTACACAATTATCTTTACATTCAAATAATCTTATTTCTTTTTTGATTAAATGGAACTTTGCAGAGGTCAGTATTCTTAACAGATTGGTTGGTTGTTTAAATGCAATTACTGGAAGATTTCTTTAGATTGATTTTGGGGAGCTAGTTCTTGGAGTTTTGCATTGTGAAAAGCTTTTTCTATAATATTATCAGGATATTCACATTCTTTTAGCCATATTTTTAGTTTTAATCATTGTTTTTCCTTTTTGTTATCAGATGTGAAAACAATTATTCTTTTAGCTAGATTGAAAAAGATATTCTTTTTTATGTGATAAGGGTGATAATTTTTGTAATTTAGGTAATCATGAGTATTAGTTTCTTTATAATAAATGTCTGTTTTTATTTTATTGCTATTTTCGAGAATAATAGATATGTTTAAAAAATTAATCATTTTGTAAGTGTTACTATCTTTTATAAATTTTTTGTTCTAGTCTATTGTAAAACTGATTGAATTATCTATTTCAGTTAAAGAATTCACAAACTTTACTACATCCAATTGTTTTGGTCAGATTATGAAACCGTCATCAATATATCTATAATAAAATTGTTTGATATCGTTAACATCTTGATTGGAAAAGTACTTAGGTAAGGTTTTAGGAAAAAGTCTTGTTTCTTCTAAAAACCTAACTGTGAGACATGCGTAATCTGAAGCAAAATCAGTACCGATGGCTATTCCTGTAATTTAGTGATACATTTTGTCATTAAATAGAAAGTTATTGTTTAAATAATTATTGAGATAACTTAAATAAATTCACAAATTTTTCAAATGTTATTATTTAATAACTTTCAATAAGTATGTTTACATGAGGAATACATTTTATGTTTATATATAATAATATCTTTATAGTTTTTAATTTATAATATGTTTAAAGTTTATATATATTTACATTCTGTTTTTTCTATGTTTTAAGATGGTGTTACTAAGCATTGTGTATCCTTGCCAGTCAAGCAATGTTACCAAGTTGTGGTATTATTTGGCAATAACTAGTACTAGGCGGTTCAAGTTTTCATTAATTATTTTTTATTTGAGACACTTTGGAAGTAAGTATCTTACTAATTAGTATCACGGTGAATACTAACTTATTTTAAGTTACATCTTTTTTTTTTTTTTTAGTTACTTATTTTATTTTCTTGAACAAATCAGTAAGGTGCTTTTTTTTGAACCGAAATTCAACTTTATGTATATCTACTTCTTATTATATTTATTTTTATTATTTTTTTCTTTTTGTTTCTCAATAAATATTCTACAATAAGATAAGTTTAAGATTATAATAAAGTTTTTATTATTAGTTTTTATGAGAATTATTTATTAGATTATTTATCAGATTTTGTTATATATATTTATATTATATATGTTATATATGTTATATATATATATATTATATATGTTATATATATATATATTATATATGTTGTATATATATATTATATATGTTATATATATATATATTATATATGTTATATATATATATATTATATGTTATATATATATATATTATATATGTTATATATATATATTATATATGTTATATATATATATTATATATGTTATATATATATATTATATATGTTATATATATATATATTATATATGTTATATATATATATTATATATGTTATATATATATATTATATATGTTATATATATATATATATATATACATTATATATGTTATATATATATATATATTATATATGTTATATATATATATTATATATGTTATATATATATATTATATATGTTATATATATATATATTATATATGTTATATATATATATTATATATGTTATATATATATATTATATATGTTATATATATATATATTTAGTTTTATGAGAATTATTTATAAGATTATTGAAATTTACTGTGTTAATCATTAGCCAACAGTTATGAAGAAACAGGAATTCTGAATAATTGAGGTAAAAATAAATTTATTTATTGCTATCATTACAAAGCCAATTTTAATGATAATATATTTTAACTTTAGTAATTTTTAGAGGCTCTAGTAGAGCCAAACTGTTGTAAAATGATGGCAAAATTTACCGATTATAGGATATAAATAAAATGTAGAAGACTACTTAAACACTTTTCTGTCTCACTAAAAACACTTAGAATACAAATATTAAGTAAAAAAGTTTTTTTAAAAACTGGACACAAAAACACTTTAACAAAATGTTCAGAAGCTCTGCTGTTTTTTAAATTGAGTTAAAGCCACATGAGAAATGTATTATTGTTATTATTGGTATTATTTTATATACAAAATAATAATTTCATCTCTTTAAATTGTTTAAAAAAGCAATTGGTCTATACTTATTTTTAAATCATTCAATTATTTGATAATATTATGCTTAATCATTGTATATAAAAAAAATTTATCATTATAAATTTTTATTTTATTAAAAATGATGAGAAAAACAAATGGCATTCCAAGAATCCTTCCTAAATAAGTTTTGGTTACCCACCTAATAAAATAAGATTAATCAAACCATGTTTCAAAACCATGTTGAAAAGTGCAATATATTGCTAATAAATTTTTAGTGCAAAAAGTATATAAAAAAATGTATTTACATTATAACATTTACTTTTAAATACCTTATTGCATTTGACGCTTCTTCTTCATTAGAAAATTTAATAACACCAGATCCTTTACTTCTTCCATAATTGTCTCTCAAAACATAAAAAGAAGTAATAGATCCAATCTGCTCAAACAAATTATTTAAATCACTATCACCAGCATCTTCATGTAAATTTTTTACATGTATCTTTGAACATGAGGGTTTTGTTTTTGGAACACTCAAAGATAAAGACTCCAAGTTTATTTGGGAACCAAATGGATTCTATATAAATTAAAAATAATGCATTAAATGATAACATTAACAAATGCTAATGATAACATAAACAAAGTTAATGATAATTAATACATTAAACAGAACTAACATAATATCAGTTTTAATTTTGTAACATTAATTATTTACTGACTGTCTGGACCCATAAAACATGGGTCTTCATAAGTCTATTATACAGCGACCATTTCTATACTTATTATTTACTTCTATTTTAAGCAAATTAATTTTTAAGTAAGCTACAGAAAATCTATACATATTTTCTACCTTTTAAAGTTATGAATAAATAAATAATTTATAACTTTAAAACTTTTTATACTTCAGTAGTTGTTGTGTGAACTGCTATTTATCAGCGGTTTGCAACCGTATTAAATTTTAAATAATATTTAAATAATATTTAAAATTTAATACGGTATTTTAAATAATATTTAGGTTTTATTTTTTGAAAAAAATTGAAATGTATTGATCAATTACAATCTGTAAATTATTTTTAAAAACATTTGGAATTAAAATATAAAAATATATGAAATAATGAATTTTCCATGACCCATATAATACTGGTCATGGTAAGTCTATTCCACACCAACCATTTCTATACTTATCTTTATATAGTCGTTTTATTTCAATAATTTTTTTAAACCCTAAATAGTATTCATTATTGATTAATAAAAATGACTTTTTGGGAAAGAAGATAGCAAAATGGTTATATATATATATATATATATATATATATATATATATATATATATATATATATATATATATATATATATATATATATATATATATATATAAATATATATATATATATATATATATATATATATATATATATATATATATATATATATTATATATATATTATATATATATATATATATATATATATATATATATATATATATATATATATATATATATATATATATATATATATATATATATATACAACTATCATTGTGCATTTCACACTCTTTAAGAGGTTTTGTTTCTTTCATATATATTCTATAACACAAACGTATAAAGAGTATAAATATATAAATAATATAAATTTAGACTTAAAATAGTTAAAATAAACTAAACCCCTCCGCAGCCTTGGGGAGGTGAATAACATAAAAATAATAAATTCTCAAAGTAATAATTTTGAGAAATGGTATACACTTTTAATAAGTTCATGACTTAAATAAATATACTTACGTTCTAATATGATTAGAAATTGAGATGTCAAAAACAAATTATGTAATGCATTCCAATGGAACAAAATTGCAAGTTAAATTGTTATAACTAAGTAACAGCCAGTCAAAGTTTTGTAACTCAATTAATTACCTCATCTATTAAGCTAGTGTAGGTATATTTATAATACATTATTTCTAGTTTAGGATGTTGAATGTCGGATCTTCTTGAGTCAGTGCATGAGTTTTCCTTATGTCTCTATTTTTATGTTTATAATTCTATTATCTCCTAGGCAACTCATTCTATTATCTCCTAATGAGAGTGCAGCTCTCAAACTCAGATTCATGGTTCTAAGGCCAGCTGGTAGTTTTCCTGAACTCTGTAGTGGCTGGCAGAGAGGCTGATTCCATCAACAGCTGTAAAATATCAGAGTACTAACAGCAGGGTTGGCAAAAAAAACCAACCCAAAAAAACCCAATAAAACCCAAAAAAACCCAAAATATATTTGGGTTTTTTTAAAAATGTCCTATTTTACAACTGATAACTTTGATTTTAACACTTATAAATGCTTTATTATCAGCAAGTGCAACCTTTATACTGTAATTACTCTTGTAAACACTGTATTTATATACATAATGGTATTTAGAATATACCCAAAACTGATCAATCTGTTTTTGTCTCAAGTTGGTTATTTATTATTATTTTTAAACATTTAGCAAGTTATTATAAATGTTATTGAAATATGAATTAAAACATTAAATTAGTTAAATACTTATAAAGGAAATAAAAATCATTCTATTAACTAAATTTCAAGACATTACTAGTTATTTAGTAGCTTTATTCTCCTCTCGAATGTCTATATTCCTTTATATTGGTATTTGCTCTTTTATTTTTTAAAGCTTATGTTGTAAACTGCAAATTTCAGTAGAAAGCCACAAGCAAAATACTATATATAAAAATTATTAAACTTTATTTACAATTTAGAAATGGAAAGTTGTCAGGCAAAAAAAAATGCTACAGTTTACTAGATTTGTCCTTAAGTACATACAACTTTAAAACTTAAAAAAAATTAAGTTATGTGCAAGCAAGTTTGCAACATGTTTGCTCATTTAATGAGAGAACATGTTGAAAACTTGTATGCATTTCACAAAGACAAGATTTGTTGGTAAAAATGACACTCGTGCTCATCTGTCTTTTGATAGGTTTTGAATATTTTGCATCAGCTACAAGTTTACAACATGTACCACCAACAAGGGTGACTATGAACAGCGGGTTGAAAATTAACATCAGTATCAAGTTGCTAAAAAGTGAAGAAACACACACAATAGAGCTGTATAATGTGTTACTTTGATTCAGTTTGCAATTTGCATTGCAAAACTGAGCCGGTAAAACATCTTCAAGGAAAAAAAAAAACTTGGTGGCAAAGACACTGTAATGGTTCTTAACAAATTTATTTTAGATATTTTAAGAACAACTAAAGTTTAGGCAAAAATCCATTTTTTACCAGTCCAGTTGATCAGGTTGATAACTTTTTCAGGAAGCTGGACAGTATAATGTTCTGATAAAAAAAAAAGTAGTGATTAGGCTAGCAGTTTTCTTCTATGATACAAAAATGTTTAAAAATTGTTCATAGTCAACTTGATTCATAATAACTTATAAGGTTGCAACATCATGTTGCAAACTTGTTGATTACATGTTGTAAACTTGTGCAAAATAGTTTTTGAAATGATATGTTGAACATGTTAGTCAAAAAAACTAGTTTGCAACATTTATATTGTCTTACCAACTTTGAGTAACTCAATTGTCATAATAATTTTTATACTGATTTTTTTTTAGTCAAAAATATTCTGAACGTATTTTTTATTTAGTGCAATTAATTAACATCATTTATAGTTGATGGAGTCCCTTTTTGCACTATAGGTAAAATGTGCTAGTAGACTAGTAGTAAAACATTTGGCTCGCAACCAGAAGGTTGGGGTTCAAATTACCTCTGCTGAAATTACTGTGCTCAATCTATTTCTCCGCACAGCGCCTTTGTTTAAAAATTTTAGTTGTTAATGTTGTTTGTTAGTAAAAATGGTAATGTTAAGGTTTGAGACAAAATATTTTTAAAAAATGAGTTGCTCCCTTGACTGAAGTGGTCATTGGAGCAATAGGATGGTGAATTTATGAAATTAAAAAAAAAATTATTGTACTCATACAATTATAAAAATTTGGTATTTTGATTGGTTTTTAAAAAAACCCAAAAAACCCATAAAACCCAAAAAAACCCAATAAAACCCAAAAAAAACCCATTTGGGTTGGGTTTTTTTAAAAAACCCTGGGTTTTTTCCAACCCTGACTAACAGTGTCATATTGCACATGCATGGCGCCCCTGTTCAGACTTTTCGTGTGGATTGTAGAGGCCACATTTGGAGCCCTTTGTTAGGGATTAGGGTTTAATTATAGTAATTTGATAATTGCTTGGACTATTAAATAGTGCCCTGAGTACTATCTATGCTCTGAGTCAAGTTCAAATTTAAAAATGACGAAGTACCAAAAACTATAAAGCACAAAAAGCCATCGTCATCACCAAGTTCTCTAAATCTATTACTTACTAATATCCGTGGTCTTCGAAGTTTTTTTCTGTTGAGTCTTACCTCTTGCAAAGTTCACCAGACCTACTACCTTTTTGTGAAACTAATATCAATTCAGCTGTCTCATCTTGTGATCTTAGTGTTGATGGTTATCTCCCTTTAATTTGTAAAGACTCCAATACTCACATGCTTAATCTGGGCATTTACATTCATAAGAATTCACCAATTTGTCAGGAAAATAGATTTGAATCCACAGATTCAAATTCTTTTATGCACTTTCGCTTAGCAACACTTCACTCTATCGCCTTTCCTTTATTCTATAACGCACTCCTTCATCTTAAGACCAAGAACTCTTTTCAATGTAATTTTTGATCAAATTGACCTAGACCTTTCTCTTTATCCTTTAATGCTCATCACAGTGAATGGCTTGGCTCTAGTGTCAGTGACTATGCAAGCGTTAAGGCCTTTGCCTTTTTCAACCTCTAAATCAAGCAGTCAACTTTTCAACTCGCTTTCCGTGTCTTGTTTCTGATCCTAGTCAGTACTCAGTTTCTCCACATTCACACATAGGTGCTTCTGATCACAGTTTGATCTCTCTAAAACTATTATCTTGTTTTTTTTATCATCAGAATCCCCCTATCATCATACCTCTTACAACTACCGTATAGCTGACTGGGACTTTTTCCGTGATTTTCTTTGTGATAGCCCTTGGGTAAAATCTTTCGTCTTCCTGCTGACAAATGTTTTTTTTACATAACCTCGTGGATTCAGGCTGACATGAAATCTTTTAATCCCTCTTGACATTCCAAGTCAAGCCTCACCCTTCTCTATGGTTTTCCTCACATTGTGCTGCTGGAATTTCTGATCATAAACATTATTTCCATATCTGGAAACAAAACTATTCTCCAGAAAACAGATGTGTATTTACTACTGCTAGAAAACATTGTAAAAAGACTTTGTCTAACAGCGAAGCCCACTATTCTCATCATGAAATCTCATAATTCATCATAAAAATTAGGCTCTCCTCACTTCTGGAGAATCTTTAACAGTATCAATAATAAGAGCAAATCTGTTATTCCACCTCTCTTGTATGGTTCAGACTTTGCCACCTCACCTAAAGACAAAGCTGAATTGTTTGCTAAGAACTTTTCATCAATCTCATCTCTTGATTCCACAAATCACATCCTGCGTGATATAGCTTGACATTTGTATCACTCTAAAGTGATTTCCTGCTTAGACTTTTCTACAGCTTGTGGTTCAACATACCTGTTATAGTCCTGCAGAAACGTTCTCCGAGGATGCTGCAATTACTGTCAAAACTATTTAACAAGTGCTTATCAGTGTTTTGCTTTTCAGCGTGCTGGAAAACTGCATCTTGTACCCCTATTTTCAAAAATTCTGGAGAGTAATCTGATTTGTCTAACTACTGTCCTATTAGTCTTCTTCCTATCATAAGCAAGGTTTTTGATTCTTTAATTAATAAACATTTAATCTCATTTCTTGAATCTATTAACTTACCTTCTGATAATCAATATGGATTTCGATCTTCTCGTTCTACAGCTGATTTGCTAACAGCAATAACTGATAGGTTTATCGTGCATTAGGTAGAGATGGAGAGGTTAAGGTTATTCCTCTTGAAATTTCTAAAGCTTTTAATAAAGTTTGGCATGCTGGTCTTCTCCATAAGCTTTCTTCTTACAGTGTATCAGGTAACATCATCAAGATTATTGTATCTTTCCTTTCTAATCGAAAGTATAAAAGTCTTCTTCATATGCTGTAACTTCAGGGGTTCCTCAAGGTTTTATCCTTGGCCCTATACTCTTTTTATTTTACATTAACTATCTTCCAGATACTCTCACAAAATAAGGTGGCATTGTTCGCTAAAGATATTACCATTTATTCTTGTCTTGATAAGCTAACACTCTCTCATTGCTATAGCATGGGGCTCACAGTGGCTGGTGAACTTTAATTCAGATAAAACACAATTTTTTTAGCCAGTCGTTATCATAAGAATTTAAATCTTCCTATATTATGAACGGTAATGTACCCGATGAGTCATCTACACTTCATCTTCTAGGATTGACTCTTACTTCCAATCTTTCATAAAAACCATATATCAAATCCATTGCAAAATTCGCATGTGCTAAGGTTGCTTCTCTTTACCATGCTCGCCACTTTCTTACTCCAGATTCTATTTCAGATATTCCAGATTCTACTTTATCTCTATAAATCTCAAATCCTTCTTGTATGGAACTTTGTTGCTATATCTGGGGCAGATCTTCCAATGATGCACTTTCTTTTTTAGACAAGATACAAAAAGGCATTGTAAACATAGTTGGAACTGCTCTTGCAGCAAACCTTAAACAATTATCACTTTGTCATAATGTTGCTTCACTTTCTCTTTTCTACAAATAGTATAATGGGCACTGCTCTAAAGAGCTAGCATCTCTTGTGCCATCTACTTAAATTCACTCTTGTGTTACTCGTCATGCAATCAAGTCTCACCCTTTTTCTGTGACTGTTTTTAAGTGTTTTAAAAACTCTTATTTGTCTAGTTTTTTCCATTTCTTTGGAATTTTCTTTCTTCATTTTTTCCTGATTCATATAATTTGCAATTTTATAAGTTGTCTGTCAATCGTTATCTTGCTCTATAAGCTTCATCTTTTCTCTTCCAGTAACTTCCAACTCTAATAGTGGTTGCTTGCAGCCTTGTTGGAAGCGAAGATGTTGAAAAAAAAAATTAATGCTTGAAAACAAATAGCAAATAAATTAATTATTCTAACATAACTGCAGCATATAACTTTGATATGGTTTTACTACAGAATTCACTCTGATATTGCAGCAGAAAATAATATATATTTCAGCGCTTCTAGTTGGAATCTATCCTTATTACTAACAATAATAAAAAAATATTCTGAGTGCAATTCTCTAGTTAGATTAATGCTGTGAAAACATATAGTATAAATCTAATTAACATTGCTTACCTTTTGACTTGAATCATATTTCTGCTCCCCCTTAGCTTTATAAAAATCAACTTTCATCTGTTTAGAGTAGAAGGTACGGCCATTCATAAATCTATAACAAAATTTTTGATAAATTTACTATTGTTATAAAGTTTAATACTTAAAAAACTCAATTTTTTAAGTATTTTAGAGTTTCAAAACTTAATTTATTTTGAACTTTTATTTTACTCAAATTTAAAATCATTTTCAAAAAGTTTCAAAAGTAGCATAATTAATTTAAAATAACTAATTTTTCTATAAGAAACATCTTAAAAAATAGTCTTTGAAATAAGGAGATTTTATTAGTTTATGTCTGAAGTATTAATATTTTTATTTAAAATTGTAAAGGAATTCCCCCATCTCTAAATTAAAAAAAAAAAAAAAGGAAAAGAAAACAAAAGAAAAGAATTAAATTACAAAAAAATATAATTGTATATAAGGGTAATTAATTTTGTTTATAAAACTATTTATGTTTTATATCAAAAATGTACCAACTATTATTGTTGCAAGTGTAGAAATTAGACAAAAATCTATTCTAACTTTAAAAATTAATAATAGAACAATTAACAAAAACCAAACAATTAAAACAATTAAAACAATTATCAAGGCGCCAAAGTTCTCAAAGTTTTGAAACAAAATTCTGAATCAATTTCAAATGACAATATCTCTTGAACCAATGTCCATTTTTAGAATTTTCATAGTTGTAATTTATTATTATGGACTGTATATGAAGAAAAAATAAACCAATTGAAAATTGAAACCAATTGAAATATAAAATTGAAACCAATTGAAACCAATTGAAAATAAACCAATTGAAAAGAAAATATCCACTGCAACATCCGGATCTAGTAAATTTTGAAAACGATCTACTAAAAATGGTTCAAAATATTTCATTTACTAATTCCTACAACCAGTTTCAAAAACAGCTAAATAATGACATTTTCAAAATTATATCATCAGAAAAAATGTTTCTTTTTGCGGATAAATCACAGAATATTTACGATCTTGAAAAATCTTCTTGAAATAAAATTTTCAATGAAAACGTAACAAGAACTTACAAAAAATCTGATAATTTGCAATATAATAACATTAATAATGCATCTAAAGTAATTGCTTAAAACTTAGGTATGGACAACAGGATGGAATGTCTTGCAATAAATACCGCGTTTATAACTATAAAGGATCACAAAGATGATTTTGTCAACAATACTAAATGTCGTTTAATTAATCCAACATTTAGTTAAACCAGAACTTGGAAAGGTTAGTAAAATTTTACTGGAAAACATTAACAATAAAGTGAGAAAAGTCACCCTTGTAAATCAATTGCATAATACGAATGACATTGTAAATTGGTTCCGCAATATTAAAGAGAAACACAACTGCACATTCATCCAGTTTGATATCGAAGAGTTCTATCCTTCTTTTTTTAAAGAATTACTTCAAATTTCACTTATTTGCGCCAATCAATTTACATAAATTTCAGAAAATACATTAGATATTATCAATCACTCAAGAAAATCATTATTGTTTACTGAACACAATAGTATCTGGGTCAAAAAACTTGGTGATCCTAATTTTGACGTCACTATGGGAAGTTACGATGGGGCTGAGGTGTGTGAGCTAGTTGGACTCTTTATTTTACATACTTTAAGTCAAGACTATGGGTTGATAACCGTTGGATTATATAGAGATGATGGACTTTGTTGTTTTCATTAAATTAATGGACCGCAATCTGAGAGAATAAAGAAAAACATCGTTCATCTTTTTAAGGAGAAATTTAATCTAAAACTTACTATCAAAACCAACTTAAAAATTGTAAACTTTCTTGATGTTACCTTCAACCTGTTAAAAAATACTTTCCAGCCATACAGAAAATCAGGTGACCTCCCATTATACATCAACATAAATTCTAACCACCTTCCTAGTATAATTAAATCCATACCAACTATGTAGCTAACCGTATAAGCAATATTTCATCTAGCTAAGAAGTTTTTGATAGAGCAACATTGTTTTATAACAATGTGTTAGCAGCATGTGGGTTCAATGAAAAGATTACTTTCCAAAAAAATCTTGCCCCACTAAAACCAAAATCAAGATCACGAAACATTATTTGGTTTAATCCTCCGTTTTCGCAAAATGTAAAAACCAACGTCGCAAAAATTTTTCTAAATCTAATTAAAAAGCATTTTCCAAAAACACATAAGTTTCGCAAAATTTTTAATAGGAATAATTTAAAAGTCAGTTACAGCTGTCTTTCAAACTTCACCAATATTATTAACTCACACAATAAAAAAGTATTACCTAATGTTTCCAACACAATTGTTTCAATGTGTAACTGCCGGCAACCTTCACAATGTCCTTTGCAAGGTATGTGTTTTAATAAAAATATAAATTACGTCTGCAATATAAAAATATCACCACAGGATAGTGGTTTAAATTATATTGGCTTAACAGAGCACACCTTTAAAGATCGCTGGTACAAGCATAAGAATTCCTTTCAATACAAAAGTAAAGCTAACGCCACAGAACTTTCTAAATATATCTAGTAAATGAAAAAAAAAAGGGATTTTCAAATCCTAATCTTACGTGGAAAATTATTGATAGGGCAGAACCTTTTAAACCCGGATGAAAGTTATGTAACCTTTGCTTAACGGAAAAATACCATATCATTACATAATCTTTGAAACTATTAAATAAGCAAAATGAATTAATATCGAAATGTCACCACTAAAAAAAATTTGTTATCTGCAACTTTAACGTCATCTAAGCAAACACTGTATTGTATTTTTGTATATAATTTTTGTTGTTGTTATGGTTTGTAACGTCTGATGATCGCACATAGCATGAAACACTGAGTTATATTACAAATTTAATTTTTTTATTATTTTAATATAATATATATTTGCTCTACTTTTGTATTGAGCACTCTCTACCAAAATATTACTTATATTACTGGTATATATATATATATATATATATATATATATATATATATATATATATATATATATATATATATATATATATATATATATATATATATATATATATATATATATATATAGTGTTCCAAAAAAACGTGTTTTTTTGGGTTTTTTGCGTTTTTTTGGTTTGGGTGTAGTTTTTTTTGGATTTTTTTTAAGCTCTTATGGTATATTTGTTTACTAATTTTGTGTAAACAGAGTGTTTAGCCAAAGTGGTATAAAAATATTTGTCTTTTTGATTAGGAAAATGGCTAAACAGTTATATTTTTTTAAAAAAAATTTCAAGATTTTTGCCTCTAAAAAATTATTTATTTTCCTTATATTAAACACGAAAATGATTATCTTTTTTTATTTTGCAAAGCAGTGTTTTATATAATAAATATATTTCTTTCATATAATAAAAATATTTATTTAGATAATTCTGATTCATTCCATTAAATAATACATTTATTATTATTCAAAAAAAAACTATGGATTTATGAAAAATTTAATGAACATAAGTTGAAGAAGTTGAAAAATAATGTTGTAATTTTAAAACAAGTGACAGATCCAGGGGAAATAAGAGGTATGAACCTACCACCCTGCACCAGAATCCATAAATTTATAAAATATCTTTAAATTTTTTTATTTTTTTTTAGTAGGCAAAAATGTGATACAAAATAAACTAAATTTTTAACAAGCCCCGATTCCCCCTCACACCCACACCAAAAACTCCTGGATCTGACTTATTTTGCGATGCAGTGTTACTTCATTCATATAATAAATTCTTAGAACAGTTCTTTACTTCTTTGTCTTTACTTATAAGAATTATTATCAAAAATTATTTAAAAAAAAAAAAAATGTTTTTCTAATTAATGCTTTTTCAAATTTTTTTTTTTTTTTGAATAATTGAACAATTGCTAAACTAAAACATTACTAATAATATATACCATTACTAATAATGGTAAATGGAAGTATTAAAACAAGTATTTAATAAATATCACCAAAAATAAATTTTAAAACCATTTCAGTGTTTAAAATGCAAAAAGAGTAGTTTTTAAGGCAAAAACGCAAAAAAAAACAACCAAGTAAACCAAAAAACGAAGTCCTTGGTTTTTTTTGGCAAAAAAACAAGAACCAAAAAAACGACTTACATCTATCTGTATATATATATATATATATATATATATATATATATATATATATATATATATATATATATATATATATATATATATATATATATATATATATATATATATATATATATATATATATATATATATATATATATATATATATATATATATATATATATATATATATATATATATATATATATATATATATATATATATATATATATATATATATATATATATATATATATATATATATATATATATATATATATATATATATATATATATATATTGTTTTTCAAATCCCAGACGTAGTTTGACAAGGCAGTGGAAAAACAGATACAACAATCACAAATCATGATTCAATAATGTTAAATACAAAAAGTCCACCGCCTTATCAAACTACGTCTGGGATTTGAAAAACAATTTTAACAAAACCCCAACATTTACATGGTCTATTCTGAAATCTGCACACCCTACTCAAATATTTCCAAAAGGTGCCCACTATGTCTATACAAGAAATTTGCAATTATATCCTATCCTAAACCTGATGAACTCCTAAATAAACGAAACAAAATCATATTAAAGTGCCGCCACAAAAACAAGTTTTTATTAAAAAAACTACAAAGCTCGCTACAAACATAACTAACCCCTAACATTAACTACGCAACCCTATTTCGTACACCTCTAAGCTAACCAATAAATTATTCACATACACAGCTTTTGTAATATACTTTGTAATATAATTTATATTCTTATACCCACTTTTGAAACTTATTTTTATATTCATTTATTTTTAATACAACAATTTTTAAAAACAATTCACATTATTATCAAATTGGATTTTTATAACAAACATTAAAACATTCAACAACTTCACATATATTAACCAGAAACAAATTAATAATAACATTAACCTTAACTTCTAAACAGTTTCTGTCCCATAACGATCTAAAATACTAATATAA